GCGTCTCCCACTGCGCCTCCGAAGCGTTCGACCTCTTCCTACCTTAGCCTGCCGTTCCCTCAGCTCCTTCGACGCGTGATTTCCGATGCTGCCCTCGTCGCGCAGCGGGCGCGCCAGGATGTTGCGATGCGCCGTCGCCCGCGGCTCGCGACTTTGGACTCGTGGCCGCAGCCCCCCCTGCCTGCAGGGCCATGCGGACGAAGGAACCAGTGCCTGGACCCTCGTTTTGTCGATTCGACTCCCCGGCTCCGCGAGGGGCAGGGTGGGCAGGTTGGTTTCGACGGCGACGACGAGGATTACCTCTTCTACGACTGCGCGGGGCACGCCGACCCGGTAGACGAAAAGGAGGCCAGCTCAGGCGGATCTCCGGCTGCAGCGGCCGATGACCCCCGGGCTGGCCTTCAAATCTGCATGGGCCGGGCTTTTGCCTCATCCGCGAAGGCTCAGCGCCAGCTCCGCCTCTTCCTGGCCACCCCTGCAAGCTTTCCTGCGCGCGGAGAAACCTCGGCACTTTCTTCGGAGGACTCTGGAGGAGACTCGCCCAGACGAGAGCTTCCTGCACCCTGCGGGTCGCCTCTGGGGCCCGCAGAGGTCGACGAGGAGCTGCGCGGCGAGCGTCGCGCGCCCGCCGCCGCGCGGGCCCCGCGCGCCGGGCATCGTTGACAATCGAAGGGCCGTGGCATCCCCGCCCGCGAGGATGACGAAAGCGACGTCGTGGATCTGGGGCCCACGGTGGACGTCGACTTCGGGCGCTTCTCAAATGACGCCGAGCGGCAGGTGGAGGAGAAGATGGAGCGCTTGAGTCAGAGGAACAGCGAGCACTGAGGCGAGACCGAAAAGAGGGTGCGGAAGGTGGACGTACGCACCAAAACCTATCGATGAGCACGTGGGCCGCCTTGGGCTTCCTGAGTACGTTCCCATGGAACGGATGCCGCCCGAACCGATTCAAACTATTCATCGCCTCAGAGGACGCGCGGCGCTCCTGATGGCCACCGGTCCAATGCCTGGGAGCGGAACTACTTTGCCTGAAGACCGTGGCGGACTACCGGGAACATGTGGAAGGAGGTTCAGGCCCTCGGTGACAGAGGATCATTGCTCTGCAGGCGGCGGGCCACGAGCATCGCTCTGTGTCTCAGCGGCTCAAGCTAGAGCGGCACTTGGAGCTGCTCCAGACCAGGAAGGCGCTGATCCAGCATCGACGCGAAGCGAAGAACGGACGCGCGCGCTCAACGCCAACGTGAGGTTTCGAGGCCCGTCTACACGTAGGGACTGCCGACCTTCCTCTACAGGTTCGCGCTGCATTCGGAGATGCAACGCATCCAGCGTGCTAGAAGAAACTCGCTCGCGCGGTCGACCTGCGACTTCCACGCCTGGGCCGCCTGGGGCCGCCACTTCAAGAAGATGATGCGAATGCGGATCCACAGGATCAAGCGCTCCCTGAAGGACAGGAAGGGCACTCTCAGCATGCTAGCGGCCTTGGGGGGGGGGGGCGCGGAGAGCTCGGAGGAACATCGAGACCGACCGGGAAGAACCTGGGTCGGACGCCCTTCGGCAAACGCGCTCGCCATTCGACCGTGCAAGCTGTCGGAGAAAAGAGGGTTGAGAAGCGGAGGCGCCGCATGAACCAGATGACCAAGCGCCAGACCGCGCTGGCCGAGGACGTCGCGGACGCGAATTCGAGCGAGGGCGATGGCGAGCAGGAGGGAGATCCCAGCCATGGGTCGCCGGGCGCAGCCACCGGTGACGACCCATTTGGTGGCCCCCTACACCTTCCCGAGACGCCCCGCGAAGATTGCGCGGAGAAAAGGCGCTTGGCCGATGCAGAGGCAAGTGCGCGAGAGAAGCGAACGCGATCGCAGTATGTCCGAAGCAAAGCTCAGAGCAGCTGGACCATCCCAGAGACGCGCTGCTGCTGCACCGCGGTCTGCTCAGCCACCTCCTATCGAAGAAGACATTGATGACGACGCGGCCAAGGGGCCAATCGAGGAAGCGCGGACTCTCAGCTCCAAGCCGGCGCTCCCCAGGCCGAAGTACATCGGGACCGTTTGTGTCTACGTCTTGGTTCCGATGAGCGCGGCGGCATTTCTGCCTTGGTCCGCCGCCGGAGCAGGAAGGTGGCATCACCGCACGCGGTCGCTACGCCAGGGGGAAGGATCGACCAGCGGGGTATGGACGTTGCCCACGCGCGGAACCTGGGGCTCGGCGACGCCGCCAGGTATGCAGCCAGCAGGGAGCTTGAAGAAGAAGTTTGACTGGGCGTTTCTCCGGGCGACTAGGTGGATATCCCGATTGAAGAGATCATGAATCCGCCGCGCCTGAATCACGGGGCCCCACTCCTGGAATTTCTCTGGGTTTCAGGACCGCGCTGGCGCCGTCGCGGTGAGGTGGAGTCTCAAGGTTTCCGGGGGGTCCCAGGAAATCTTGCTGGGGGCGACTACCGCGTCTGGGCGAACGTTGGCGGCTTTCTCCATCGACGAGACTTGCTGCCAGGTTGTCAATTGCCGCTGCCAAGCATCGCGGACGTGGAGAAGGAGGCAATTATTGCAACGAGGTGGGAATTGGCGGAGGACGAGACGATGGAAGATCAGAGCGAGAACGTGGGCCAGACGACGCAGCAGGAGCCGCCCGATGTGGAACATAATAACGGACGCTGGCCGACCGACGACTTGATCTATTATCTGGCGTCGAGGAGCCGAGCTCGACAGACGATGGGTGCTCGAGCTCAGGTGGCTGAGATGCCTGCAGTTCAGCATCAGTACCAGAGATGCCCCAACCTTCATGTCTGGATGAAGTTGTGGACGTTCGTTCCCGCCAAAGAAGTTATTCATCTGGTCCGGTCACGCAACGCGCTTGACACCGATATCGCGTTGAATTACTTGATGGATGTCGCCGGGGACCAAGACTACGAGCCTCTCGATTGTTATTTCGCCGCGTGCACGAAGGCCGAGGTCGACGACCCCGCGGGCACTCACCCTGCGCCAGAGTTCGCTTAGAGGAACTTCAGGGACCTTCCAGGCTGGGCACCCGCGGTGCTGGCTTTCACCAACAGCGTGATTTACAACGACCTCGCGAGGATCGGCAGGAAGACCTGGCATGCGCCCCAGGAGGAGAAGAAGGTAATGAACGACAGCTTGGTGGAGCTGGTGAAAGACGGCGAGAGCGCGCTCCAGGATCTCACGGAGCAGATCGCGGAGCGCGGCATGCGGGAACAGAACGAGGAGTTGAGGCGCGGTCGTGCCAGCTACTGCGAGGTGGCAAACGCCTCGCGTATTCTGAAGGAATAAAGACATCGCACTACTAGCTGCGGAAGCCCTGCAGGACGCGATGCGTGCCGTGGTGAAATTCGAGCAGTACGACTCCTATGCTCCGGTGGAAGAACCTCCGGCGGCACATGGGCCAGATTCTGTTTGGGCCCGAAGAGAATTACATCCGCGCCCTTTGGAGGCAGAGTCAGAGCTACAAGCTGGCAGAAAGGAGAAAGCGAGCCTCCGAGAAGATGATGAGTTCCAAGTGGGAAGTATGTGCCAACGTCGGCGCGACGGGGGGCAACCTGATCGACGCCTCCTGTCTCTGTGATTGTTTCGGACGCGCTGGTTCTGGAAGCTGAATCTGGGACATTCAGCTGTCAATAGGATTCAGCTTTTCCCGTGAGCATCGCTCGGGTATCATTGGCGGCCCATGTGGCCAGGGCCCGTTCGCTTGACCACCCGTGCAGTGGCGGCTCATCGATATGTCCGTGATGCGTGCCAAGGAGATGTCGCGACATCCAGCCCTCAGCCATCGGGGTGCCGTCTTCCAGACCGCGCTCGACGGCGCCAGCCTGGAAGCTCTTGCTTCTATCTGGAGCAAGGAAGGTCTGTGGTCTGCACAGGATGAAGCGGGGACCTTAGAGCACGGACAGCTTCTTCGGTGTTCGCCGCGACGGGCGACCCGCCGTGCCAGGTGCACCCGCGATATGGTGCACATGTCGTCTCACGTGGGTCCTGAGATGCATATTTCCCGTGTATTTTCGAGATGCATGTGGGTCGCCGGCGCCGCGCAGGCCATCCCAAGTTGCATAGTCATAAGTAGCGGTGCCAGGTCGGTGGCAGCTTTTTGGGGTCCCTTCTTGCTTTGCGGGGTTCTCTTGGACCGTCGACGGTGTCACTGGCCCGTCTAACTCTGAGGCTGTTTTGGGAATCTGTTTGGGGCATGTGGGTGCCCTTTTAGGGTTGTTGTCCGACTCTCGTGGGGGACCCTTGGGTTGCGCTGGGGGCCTCGCGGAGCCGTCTTGCGGGTGCCCTGGGCCATCGCGGGGTCCTCTTTGGCGCCGTCTTGAGGCCTTTTCTCGGATATTGGAGGCGCCCGGGTGTGTGTTTTTATTCGGCCGCGAAAATTTGCAACATCGACAACGCCCAACGTTTGTTGTCCATTGGGTTTCCCGGAGAGCCTCGCGGAGTCCTTTTGGGCTGGGTTGGTTGCCTCTTGGGCCGCCATGGGACCATCCTGGTTTGTTTTGCGGCCGCAGTGGGCCGTGTGAGGCCGTCTTGACGCCCATTCGGGCCTTCTTTGGGCCAGATTGCGAGAAAGGGAGGCGTGGCGCATTCGAAGAGAACCACATTCGATACGCAGCACGCATCGTTATTCCAGGCAGCGCCCACGCTGCTAAAGAGGGCGGCGTCCACGAGGAGGACATGTACAACCGTCTAGAAAGGGGGCAGACAGTAGGATCACGAGGTCTACTGTTTGTGATCGCAATTTGGGGTTTCATGTTGCTTGTCTCGTGTTCAGGCGTCTCCTGTCACGCGTGGCTTATTGGAGCCGCCCGGGTGGATCCAACACGATGTGGTCCGGATCTGACGCGACATGTCATTTGAGCAACATTTAGCACATTCGGTCATCAGGCAAGTCCCTTCCGTGTTTTCCCAAGCGATGCATCTCAAGTGACGTATGAACGGGATGGATAATACGATGTTCGTAGGGAGCTCGCGTCACTGTGGGGACTGCGCTCCGCAGGGCTGATGGGGTGCGCGATCACGCAGCTGAGCATATTTCCGCAGAGCAAGGCGCTGCTTCAATTTTGCGATGGTGGAGGAGGAAGAGGTATATGGGGATGGGGTGGACGAGGACGAGTGGGACAGCGGAGGAGGAGGCAGGCGAGCTAGGGAGAGAGCAAGGGTGGAGGAGAGATCAGGGCGTGGACCAGGCGTGGGGTTTGGAGCACGAACAGTGGCTGATGAGCGGGAAGGAGCAGCGGATAGGGGACAGGGAGGGGCAGGACGAGAAAAACAATGTGAGGGTGAGGAGGCAGGAGGGAGGCATGAAGAGGAGTCTAAGGCATAGCCCGCCTCCCGACATGTTCATGCTGCAGCTCTTTGCCAGGGCTGTTCCATAGGGCCACGGATTGGTGTCCTTCGAAGAGCTGGGATGATACCTGGGAGAAATCTTGAACAAATCACCAGGCAGCATAATTGTAGTCACGTATGTGGATGGTCTGAGCAGTTCGGCGTCAGTTCCGATTGCCCCAGGGCGGGGGAGGGGATCGTGGGGAAGCTGTACGGAGGGGAGGGGAGGGCGAATGAGAAAGGGAGGGGTGCGGGGCAGGGACGATGAGAGGGAGAGGGTTAGTGCCCCTCCAAATCGTGCGCGCAGATGATGGGATTGCCCAGCTTCTCAACTGATGGGCAGAAGCATCTACCATTGTATCACGGACCGAAGGCAGATGACGAGACACAATGACATTCATCCGTTAGCCACAATTTCCGTGTCTGGCTGGGCCTTACGATGAAGTTGGAGTAAGGCGGGAGGGGGGTGAGGATAGCCGCAGGGGCGTGAATGTAGCCGCGTTTCGCGCGTCATCGGCGTGAGGGCGCAAAGATGACCACTCGTCGCGCACCGCGGGGCGCGACGCGTGGAGTTTGGTTACCCAGAGGAGGCAGGTGGACTGTCGGGCGGGCAGGCGACAATCGGCAAGGGGAGGGGGGGAGGGGGCAAGGGCGAACGTCGACCTGGGTGTTGGGCGGAGTGCTGTCAGACTACACCTGCCAATCCCTGGGAAGCGTTTCCAGGGATCCAGAAAGGCCAGCCCCGCCGATCGGACATGTTGTTGGAGATTCGCGTCGAATGTGCAAGGAGCAATGATACTGATGCGTTCCAAGAGTCCGGATGGCCGAGAAAAGCTCCAGAATTGTCAGAACACATCCTGAGCCAATCGCATCTTGACGCCACTATCGTCCGACGTGAGAGGCAGGGCAGGGGTGCTCGCTTCCCCCGCCGCCATCCACCCACCCGGTGCCTACGCCAGGCCGAGCGCGAGCTGCTGAGGGAGGCCGAGGAGTTCCGGCAGAGGCTGATCCGCGAGGCCGGGGCCTCGGCGGGCCGCCATGGTTCGAGCCTCGAGGATCAGAGCTCGAGGACGCGGACTTCAGAGGTTCGAGGTGCTTCTGGCTTTCGTTTTGTTTCTGTTGAGCCTCCTGGAGCTTCCCCGTCGCCACGGCTGGCCTCCCGTCGGCAAATCTGCCTGAGCGCACACTGCGCAACGCAGTGCAGTGCAATGCAACGCGTCACGTTGCAGCGCCGTATGGGCCGAACGAGAGAATTATGCTACGACGACGACGACGATGACGAGGGCAAGGGAGTCGAGGAAACATACTATCCTATCCTCCTACTCGTCCTTCTCCCTCCCTCCTCCTCCCTCCCTCCTTCCTCCCTCTTCCTTCCTCCTCCCCCTTCCCTCCCCTCCTCCCTCCTCACTGCAATGCAATGTGCTACTCCTCCTCCCTCCCCCCTCCCTCCTCCTCCTCCTCCACCTCCTCCCCCCTCTCCTTTTCCTCCTCCCCCCTCCTCAATGTATTGCAACTCAATGTACTGCAATGCTCATGCAATGCACAGGCAACACCGTGAAACGCAATGCAACGAAACAGGATGCAACGCAATGCAATGCAATGCAATACAATATAATCCAGTGCACTGCAATGCACTGCAATGCAATGCAGTGCAGTTCAATGCAGCGCAATGCAATACAATTCAACGCAATGCGACGCGATGCAACGCAACGCACTGCAAAGTGCAACGCAATGCAGTGCAACGCAATAGAATGCAATGCAACGTACCACAGTGCGCCCGCCCGCCGTCTGCACACCCGCTCGCCCGCCCGCCCGCCCGCACGCCCGCGCGCGCCTCGCATCCATTCCATCCCACCCCCTTCCATGCCCTTCCATTCCACTCCTCCTTTCCATTCCATTCCGCCCATTCCATTCAGCTCCATTGCGTCACGCTCCTCCCTTCCCCCGGCCCGCGGTTCTTCTAGGTCAAGAGATTGCTGCTGGGCCCAGCGGTGTGGGACAACCTCAACAAAATGCACCAGGAAGGGCTGGTTGGCTGGTTGGTTGGCTGGCTGGTTGGCTCCCCTGTTGCCCGGCGAGCCGGCGTCCAGAGGCTGATTTTCGCACGCCCTTCGCACGGCTCGCGCCTAGGGGGCCAGAAGGAGCTTCTGACCAGAACTATGTTTTACGAGTATAGAGCAATCTGACCCGCGACCCTTGGGCCAGCGATTGCCAGGGACCCCTTTGGCAGCATCGGATCCTGTCGGTCAGGAGACCTTACGCCTTCGCGCAGGGAAGGTCCCATCGGGGTCCAGGGCCCCTAAGCGCTTGGCAACTATTCTCCAATCGACTTGCGGGGGTCACGCCAGGTAAAGCAGGGCAGACTTGAGGCATTTACAGGGATCTAATCTGGAGACGTCACGGAGGGACAGCAGAAGTCGTTGAGCAATGGACGACATGAGGGCGATGAGGAGGGGCGCGGGACCTGGGCACAGAGCGCCGAACGCCACATTCTGGCGGGCCCATCATGAGGCCTGAGTCGGCGATCATAGCATGTTTCTCGCGTGGCAGGCTCACGTCATCGCAGAGAGGTATATATCCAACAAATGCGGAACTCACCAGGGGTGTTTCGGGCAGGCAGGATCGTCGCGTCCAGTGCTTCATTGTTTCTGCTTGGGCTCTTGGTGGCTATACTTCGGTTTTCCGTCAAGTCATTCAGACACATGACCATGCTTTGTTGCCTCGTGCCCATGACACGCCTCGTATATCGTTCCGAGTTATGGTTTTCCCGAGCGCGACGCTTCTAGCATGATCCCCGAGTGCGACCACGCAGCAAACTACCACGGGCATGCGTCGGCGCGCTCGCGCTCGCTGCACATCACAGATATTCGCAGTCTGCGAAAGTGGTCATCATGGAGTACATGCTAGCAGGGCGTCCCCCTGGACGGGAGGAACGTCCTGGCAGCACTGGCGACAGGTGCGTAGGTAAGTTGGGCGCACTCATGGGTCTGCATGCATCAGCATCCGACGAGAAGCAACCTGCACACGAAGAGCACAAGTCACGCTCGAGGAGGGCACGTCCGCGATGGACCAATGCCGAATACTCGGCGGCGAGCCCGGGGGGAAGTGAGAGGGGGCGGGCCTTCACCGACAAATTCTCAGAAGGCGCGAGGGCTTCTGAGAAGCCCCGACGCCTTCTGAGAAGGCCTTCCCCCTCTCTCTTCCCCACTGGGCTCGCCGCCGAGATGCACTACCAGGACTCTGGTGTTGCCAGAGGTGTCCCTGGCCCAGGGTGTCCCCAGGATTTCCAGGGGGGCCCCCGTGCTCCAGAGTACCCCTCGAGAGGACCAGAGGAGCCTGGTTTGCCAGGAGCATCTTAGTGTAAATCGTCCGAAGGATAGACGAGTAAGAGTCCACGCTTTGCCAGAACGCAGCCACGATCGTCGAGCGCATGCTCTCGCTTGCCGAGCGCACGTAAATACGTGCCTGGCGAGAACACTGGCAGGCTCGAAGAGCACGGCCGCGGCATGCGTTCACAAAGCATCGCTCGCCGAGTCCCAGCCCGCGCTAAATGACCGAACACGGAGCACTGTACAGTACATTAACATCTAACTACTGAGGTACAAGCGGCCTTCCCTCTCGGCGCTCCGCGCGCCCTGCTGCTGACCCAAGAAATCTGGGCAGACCTCCGAACGGTAATGTTTAGGCCGATTTGGTTGTTGTAGTTGAGCACGCGTCTACGCGCCCGACTAAGGCTAAGTCGGGCGATGTCTCGGCGCCTGCGTCCGCGCATGTTGGCCGAACGTGCCTGTCAAAAGCACGCGTCTACGCCAGACGAGAACGCGATTGAGATCTTACAGCACCCGGCCGTACTCGACGGCCCCGTATCCCACGCCAGGCTACCTGAAGACCCGAAGTCCCGAGTGAACGCCCTCAGGAAGAGGGCGTACCCAGGGGAGTGGCCACTGGGACTCGGGCGGTTTGTATCGTCGTGTGCGAGCCCATGCTCGATGGGTATTCTCCAGTGTTTCCATGAAGCGCTGGGCATGCAATCTTATGAGCTCGACTTGTTCGCCATATCATACGCGGCGTGAATACTATTGCCTTGACTGCTGGCCTGATCGTTCAAGTCACCAGTGAGTGATCCATGATTTTACGAGTGAGCTTTCAGCATAGCCTTATGATGCGGCTTACGGGCAAAATAGGGAAGTCCGTTTCCCACGGTCTTTCACGGGGTTTGTTTGCTGATTTTGTTGCCTCCCCCCCTCCCCAATGGGTTTGACAGATGTTGTTGCCCCCCATGAGGTTAGGGGTAATACGGGAAGATGTGGAGTGGGGCGTATCACTTGGTCGAATCGAGCCGAGTCGATTTGTGCCAAGCTTGGTGGACCGATGAGGTCGAGCTGCTCGCGCCTTTGGTAATCCTTCCTCCTCTGTCCATCCTCGTCCTCGGTCCCCTCGCCCCCCCCCCTTCCCCAGACTTCCAACGTATTCTTTTGGTTTCCCATCTGCGGGCCTCAGGGGGTTTGACTTCTTTTTCTCCAAAGGACAGCCATCGCGCTCAAGAGCGGCGCAGTTTGAGGGAGTGATGACGACTGCTGGCCTGGGCGAGCGCTAAGCCTTGTACATCCTTCTCGAGGTGTGCATGTCACCCTTGCGCAGGGGCGGCCATGCGGATCTTCCATGTACTTTTCCAAGTTTGACCTATGCGCACCCCTCCCCCCTCGTCCCCGCCTCATCTTCGTCAGCCCTCCGGGGGCCGCGCCCCCGCCCGGCAAGGTCAAGGCCCGGAGGCAACTGCAGGACCTCCGCCGCCGCCGCCGCAAGCGTGGCCGCGAGCCCGCTCGCCACGGTCCAGGGTGAGCGGGCGGCGATCGGGGGGTCGCTCCTGCTCCCCCTCCCCCTTTTCCCTCCTCCATCCTCTGTCCTCCCCCTCCCTCCGTTCCTCCTCCCTCCTCCCCTGGGAGTGAGGAGGCTGGCTGACTGCATTGGAGTCGGGCTGCGGAGGGCCAGCCGAATCATCGGCGGCCATTCCTTGCGTTTTTCGTCCTCTGGGCGTCCTGGAGGCCTCTCGTCGCCAGGGCTGGATCCGCTGATCGCGGCATCCGTCACCACTTCGAGGGGGCAATTGGTGGCCAGAAGGCAGGCGTGATCCGTCAGCAGCGACCCAAGAAATCGGATCGGATCGGGACGTACGCTGGATCGGGCATCACCAACACGAAGCTGGAGTCGAACCGGATCTGGCCGCGCCAGGTTGCACAGCAGCGCCGTGCAAGCTTCGGGCTGCACCAGATCGACTGCCAGTCCAGACGGAATCGGATCGAGGAGGCCAGAACCGATGTCGAATTTCAATCGATGGGGATGTTCCGCGGACGACTTGTGTGCTCCGTACTACGATGGCATCTCCCGAAGCGTCGCTTATCCTCGACCCAGGAACGGTACGGTGCATAGTTTTTGTCAGGCCTGAGGGAGCCGATCATCTCTGCAGCACCGTACTGCGTGGGAGCGGGGCCTGAAGGGAGTCCAAACATGGTACGGTGCATGGGCGACGCTCTCATACACGTGGCGCTCAAGAAAGGGCCTCGTCCTGGAGAGATACAGAGGTCGACATCACATCCCTGGCAAAAGCCGGCGCAAGTGGAAGAATCGACCCCCCCAAGAGGTGTCATTTTTGCTCGACGCCAGTCTCTCTAGAGCCCGCCATTTGTCTGACGATGTTGATGGGCGTCGCAGGACGACCTGGAGAGCGCCCGCGGCTTCTCGGCCGTCCGCACAGTCGGCCGGGCCGCAGCTGCCTCTCTCGGGGTGCTGTCTCGTCGGGGGCGGCGGCAGGAGGACGCAGAGGAAGACGAGGAGAAGGAAGGATGTTCTGAGGCGGATGTATGAGCAAGTGCTTGGCCCCTGCTACCTCAGTCCGTCTTGCCTTCCCAGATCGTTCAAATACAGGCCCAAAGGCATCCCAGAAGGTACGCAACATGGCCCAAACCATCGTGCTCCCAGAGCCGTTCTGCTTCTGGAGAGCCATCTGAAGAATGATTGTCACAGCCAGTCGAAAGAGGAAGAGGAGGACGAGGAGTGGAGGAGGGGCGCGGAGGCAGAGGACGAAGGCGAGGATGACGAGGAGGGGGAGGAGGAGGAGGGAGAACAGATGAGGAGGCGGAGGAAGTGGAAGGCACAGGAATCCGTACTCCTACCTTTTGCCGTTCCCTTCTTTTTGCCTCTCCTGCCTCCTCGCTACCGTTCTTTCCAACGTCCCTCCCCTCCCCGCCTTTCCCCCGGCCGAGACGGCGACGACGATGACGCCGACGACGCCACTTACGCCGTCGACCCCATGCCCGCGTTCGATGTTTCCTGGATTGCTTGGCCGCCATGGGGTTGGATGAGGATGCATATATTCCTTTAGTATTTTTATAAGCCCGGGTGGGGGGAAAACCAATCCCCCGCCCCCCCCCCAAAACCGGACTCCCGGGATCTGGGGCTTTGGGACCCTCCAGGCGGGCCTCGAAGCGGCCACCGGGCCTCACATGGCGTTTTGCCAAGCCTTCCCAGCACGCCTAGGGCGATCAGGGGGGTCATCGGAGACGTCCCAGAGACCCCCAAGACAGCACAAGAGCGCTCCAAGAGTGACCGACGTGACCTCAAGATGACCCAAGAGGCCCCCAGGACGGCCCCAAAGAGGCCTCCAAGAGCACTCCCAAGAAGGCCCCCCGAGGCAAAAATCATTGATTTTCTGTTGGCTTTTGGTGAATTTTAGGGTTCTCCTTTTTTCGGCTTCCCGACGCTCCAAGACGGCGGTCTTCTGGGCGTCCGAAGCCGCCTGGGAGGCTCCCAAATCGCCCCACAACCGTCCGAAAGGGCTTCCAGGCAGTCCAAGAGAGCCCCAAAACGGCACAACACGGGTCCAAGATCGCCCTCAGAGAGCTCCATGGCGGCCCAAGATGGCCCAAAGACACCCTCCGAAGAATTCCAAATCGTGATTCGGTCGTTCAGGGAGACCGCGGTTGGAGGCAGGGTGGCCCGAGGAAGCCCCCGGACGCCCCCAGAATACGCCCAGGAGGTCTCCAGAAGGCCTTAAGAAAGCCTGAAACAATTTTTGTGAGGCCCCCAAAGGCTCTCCAAGGAAGAGCCTCTGCAAAAAAGAGCTGAGGAGGATGGGGAGAATGCGCAGGGCATGGCGAAAGTAAGGAAAAAGAAGCATGGAGGAAGAATAACGAATAACATTATTATAGCGGCGATGCCAGAGAAGGCAACCAGGAGTTATCGCTAAATTGTCGGCTTGACCTTCCTGCTATTCCGCCTGCATACCAAACTTCAAGGACCACGGTGCATGGCGCGAAGCGCCACTGCAGTCTTGTATATATACACATATATATATATATAAATAAATAAACAGGCTTCGCCCCCTGCCGCCAGCCCCCTCTCTCGGAGAATGGGCCATGGAAGAGCGAAGTCATGAGGTTTTGGCTTCACTGTGAAGCAGCGTCGGAACTTCATGCGAAGACGATAGGTAATTGGCAAGACGAGTGGAAATTGCGAGTCGATTGTTGTACTCGTTGCTGTTTTTGGGACCCTGACCCCGCCGATCTGTGTGAGGGGTGCCACCTAATTTTGAAACATGTCGCAAATCCTGTGCGTTTTTGGACCCTGACCCTGTCGATCCGCGTGGGGGGTGCCACCGAATTTCAAAAATGTTGAGAATCCCCTGGGTTCTCGGACCCTGACCCCGCTGATCTGCATGAGGGGTGTCATCGAATTGCAGAAGAAATGTGGCAAATCCCATGTGTTTTTGCACCCTGACCCCCTTCGATCTGCGTGAGGGGTGCTTCCGAATTTCAGAAATGTGGTAAATCCCAAATGTTTTTGGACCCTGACCCAGCCGATCTCCGTGAGGGGTGCAAGCGAATTTCAGAAATGTGGCAAGTCCTTTGTGTTTTTGCACCCCGCCGATCTGCGTGAGGGGTGCCACCGGATGTCAGAAATGTTGCACATTTCCTTTGGTTTTGGACCCTGACCCCGCCGATCTGGGCGAGCGGTGCCAGCAAATTTCGAAAATGTGGCAAATCCCATGTGTTTTTGGACCCTGACCCCGCCGATCTGAGTGAGGGGTGCCACCAGATTTCAGAAATGTAGCAACTCCCATGTGTTTTTGGACCCTGACCCCGCCGATCAGATCTGCGTGAGGGGTGTCAATGTTTACCCACCCCAGCAGTTCAGAGCACACGCTCAGGGCATGCTAAAACTGCCCGTTTGGGGCCTCCCTCCCTCGCGCGGTCCATCAACAAGAAACAGTCAGCAGCAAGAAGCAGAATTGTAACAGTGGAAACTGGAAGCTGCAACTGGTACAGGAAACTGCGAAGCTTCGGCCTACGGCCTGGTGGCCCCACAAGGGGGACGGTATATCTATATGCACATATATATATATATGTGTACAAGATTGCAGTGGCGTTTCGCGCCATGCGTCTTGGTCCTTAAGTTTGGTACGCAGGCGGAATAACAGGAAGGTCAAGCCGACAATTTACCAATAGCTCCTTGTTGCATTTTCCGGCATCGCCGCTATAACAATGTTATTCGGCATCTTTCTTCCATGCTTACTTTTCATTATTTTCGTCATACCCTGGGCATTCTCCCCATCCTCCTCAGCTCTTTTTTGCAGAGGCTCCTCCTTGGAGAGCCTTTGGGGGCCTTGCAACAGTTTTTTTCAGGCTTTCTTAAGGCCTTAAGGAGGTCTCCTGGGCCGTATTCTTGGGGCCTCCGGGGGCTTCCTCGGGCCACCCTGCCTCCAACCGCGGTCTCCCTGAACGACCGGGTCACGATTTGGATTGCTCTCGCGCCTTGCGGCCTGCACTGCACAGCGACTCGTTTCCGGAAGCGAAGAGCGGACGCGAAGATGACCTTGTTCACGCGGCGGCAAGCGCTAAGAGAGGTGGCCCACTGCGTGCCTGAGTTTTCGACGTCGTGAACTCTGTTGATGCGCCCCCCCCAGTCGAAGGCCCCCAACAAAACTCTCAGGAGGCTTCTCCAAACTGCCCCCCTTGAGCTCCCAGACATCGGATGGTTGGGAACTCGATCTACCGGGACGGACGGCAGCGTGGATGCAGAATTTGGCCTCTTTGGGGGCCCAGATGCCTATGTCTTGTGGCCCCCCTCTGCGTCCAGCTTACGGCAGGTTCGCGTCGTGTCGACCGGCGGCGGCCCCAGTGCGGTCATTGAAGGTTGAACGCCGCCCGTGGTTTGGAATCGGCTCATCCTTACGCGATCTGGCGCTTGTGAGACAGCCAATCGGACAAGGTTAAGCGATCCCCGCGGTGTCTGGGAATTGGGCTTCTCGGGGCCTGTTGGGGGTTTGCTGGGGGCTTCTTGGGGCCTCCTGGGCGGCGCATCTGGGGGCCTGGGCCTCTTGGGGCGGAAGGCTCGGGTGTTCAGTTAATCTTCCTTCTTTTGGGCCCATTTTGGGGCTGTCTTTGGTCAGTCATGTGCCCCTTTTGGGTTGTCTTGGGCGCTTTGTGGGCCGTCTTGGAGGACTCTTTGGCCGTTTTGGGGCCCTCGTAGAGGCCTCTTGGGTTGTGTGTTGGGCGATTTGGGGGGCCCCGCGGCCCGTCGTGAAGCGTGGGGAGTCAGAAAAAACGGAAAAGCCAAAAACCTTCAGACACGTATGCAACATCAATTTGTGTTGCCTTTTGGGGCCTTTTTGGGTGGCCTCTTGGAAGCCTCTTGGGGCGTTTGGGAGGCGTCTTGGGCCGTCTGGGGGCCATCGTGGGCTGGAAACTTGCATGACCGCGAAAAAGTACTGTCATTGTAAGGTCGCCCAGGAACAGCAGCCCGACTCCCGCATTGGGATTCGCGCCTGGGCGATTTTGTTCGAGACGGGCTCTAGCCAGGGACGCCGGTCAAGAGGTCCTGCAGCGTTGCAGATCCCACCACGCTCCCATTGGCGCGTCCTTGCTGGAACCCTTCTTGCAAGATTTCGAAAAGGAAGAGGTAGTTCAGCAACTTCGCAGTTCTGGACTTCCCAAATCCTAACACGTTTCAATGGCATGGCAAGATCGCCAGAGGAGGGCCTGGTTCCAAGAAGGCGTTGAGAGGTCCACGGGCCCCATGACGGCCGACGATGCCCCGAAAACGGCCCAGGAAACCACCACCATCACCCTTGACAGAGGTCCACACGGAGGCGAGCGGGTTTCGAGGGCCGTGCGCCCAAGACGGCACTTACCACCTCCGAGCTTGCCTCTGGCTGCCCGAAAGAGCCCCCAGAGGGTTCTCGGTTTTGAACATCTTATGGCACCTCAGATGTTTGAAGAAATTTGGCATGCCCGCGCGCCGACGCGCGCGTGCACATTGTCCCGCGAGTTGCGAGGGATTTGTTTGCAATCTGGTGAATCATGATCGCTGGATGCGCGCGAATTTGTTTTTGCAAGGCATGAGGGGATCGACGGGGATCGAAGTCTGGCCTGCCAGGGATGATACGAGTTGACATTTCGGATGGACGATGGGGCAGAATCGTATGCAAACTGCGATACGAAAAACGGTGGGCCGTTAAGTCTGTGGGGGGTGGGGGGAGGTATATTTTACTGTAGGGTAGACAGGAACATGCTGTGCGGTGCAATAATTTTGAAGAGCTTAGATTTGACAAGTCCACTGCTCGCGCAATAACCCCGTCCCGCAATTGGTTTGCAAAACCGCTTCGCAATTTTGTTTGCAAAACCCATGCGGCTGCGATTGCGATGACTGCTTGGCGCTGGCTGACGCATTGCTGCGGCCGCGCTAGCGCGTGCAGGCCCGCGCGCAGAGCGGGTAGTTTGCCGCGACCGGCGTGGCCGTGTGGGCGCTGACCGTTGGGAGCTTCCCAGCGTGTCTCGCAATCCGCGGTGGGATGCGTGCGTTTCATTGCGATTTGAGGACCCGGGCGGGCGCGGTGTCATGGCGACGTCAACAACGGCGGATACGAGGGTGATGGTAGCGATTCCGATGATGATGACGATGACGACGGCAAGGTCAATGACGGCGCCGATGCTGGTCACGCCGCCGACGATGATTGTGTCCACGTGTCGGCGATGAAGGGTCCGGGGAGACTTCGACATGCTTGTGCGGCCGACGGGCGCGAATGGCCCGCATGGCAGAATTTGAAAAGGTCCCCCCCCCCGCAAGCGCGCAAAGGCGTGCGCAATTCTGGAAACAAGCAACAAGGTGTTCGTAAGAATTTGCAAAACCACGCACGCAGATTTGTGGACAACGCATGTTGCTAAATCGTGTAGTTTGTGTTGCCGCATGGCTTCGGAAATTCCGGTCTAGGCACCCATGCGAAATCCGGGGTTGTCGGGTAGTCCTGGCGCGCGCGCGACGACGCGCGCGCGGATGTTGCCAAATGTTCCGCAACGGACTATTGGAACCTGATGGTTTTGATCAACGAGTGTGTGCGCAAAATCATATTTGTGACGGTGGATGGGGGGGGAGGCCAGCGTGTCCAAGATTGTATGAGTTCATATGTATAATCAACGATGGGGCATAGTTATATCTACATTACATTCTCTAAAAGAGTGCTGGCACACTCGGGCAGGAACGGGGTGGTGGTACAATTCACCTTGCTGAACTGCAAGTTGTCAATTCCGGTGCTTGCACTGCTCGCGCAATCATCCCACCCGCCCACCCGCAATGTGGTTTACAAAACCCATGCGGCGACGATTGCGATGACTGCTTGGCGCTGGATGGCGCATCGCTGCGGCCGCACTGGCGATCGCAGGCTAGCGCGCAGAGCGGCCAGTTTCTCTAGCGCGACAAAGGTGGCTGCCGTGGCGCTGACCGCTGGGGATTTCCCGGCACGTCTCGTAAGCCGCGCTGGCGCGCGGGCGTTTCGGTGCGAGTCGGTGATTCAGGTGGGCGCGGTATCGTGACGACGACGACGACAACGACTGATGCGATGATGATGCTGGTTTCGATGGTGGTGACGACGGTGACGATGACGACGGCAAGGCCAATGACGGTGCCGATGCTGAGCACGCCGATGCAGATGATGGTTCTTCACGTGCCGGTGATGACGTCCGTAGAAGAACTTCGACATGCTTGCGCGGCCCACGGGCCCGAATGGCCTGCGTGGTATCGTTTGACAAGGGCCGTGTCCCCAACACGCGAGCAGCGGCGTCCGAATGATGTCGACATGCGCGCGCGAGATTCCTGTTTGGTCGCATTTGTTCTGCGTGTTGGAGGATCTGGGAGTTCTTTGAGAGTTGGCAAGGGCGCGCGCGTAGTTTTCTTGAGACAACATGTTGCGACACCGTGCGTTGTTATGTAGTGAAGACACCCGGTTTCCAAATCCTAGCGGCCCCAAAATTTCTAAATTCTGCCATGCGCGCGCGACGACGCGCGCGTGTGGACATAGTTGGTTGCGTTTGCGATGCGCATCCGATGATTGTTCAACGAAGGGGTATTCACACACAGACACACTGTTGCAACACTGGGTGGCTGGACGAGTCGATACTGGCTTGGTTGGGCGGGTGTGGGCTCATATTTTGAATGCGCGATGTGGCGGAATCAGATCTTAAGCATTACCAAAAAATCAACGGCTAATTTTGTTGGGGGGTTGTTCCTGAGTTACCTTTTTCTCAGAAGAGGCGTAAATATGTTTTGTAGGGCGACGTGGTTGCGACGGTGGCAACCTAGCCGCCAGACCAGCAGACAGGCCCTGACGACGAGCAGCGACGAGGCGGCGGCGGCAACCTACGTAGCTGCCAGAGCGGCAGACAGGTCCCGACGACCGGGAAAAGGAGGTGACGACGGGGCGGCGACGGCGGCAACGCCCAAGCGGCATACAGACCCAGTCAATTAGAGCAGAAGATAGATGAACCGTTCCGTGCAAGCACTGTTTGGGGACATGTGTTCAATTCATCCGCGGGTACTCCAAAAACCAGGGCCGCTAGGTACTCCGAACTGCTGGAAAGTATCCTGAGACAATGTTGTCATGGCATCCGTCTCGTCCATTAGTGTCATTGATGAGCTGTTAAATGTTGCAGGCCATCAAACGTGTACCGACATCGAACGCGGAGGGGGAGAACCAAATATTTTTGATATTGGGAGCCAGGACCAGGCATAACCCTCGCTTGGTTTGGATGGTATTGGCTAAACAGAAATTCCCCCGGCGAGTCGGAGACGGCGGAGGCGGCAAGGGGCGAAGTGCTGGGAGATCCCCGCAGGCAGCAGCACGGAGGCGCCCGAGACTGCGGACTCGTTCCTTTCCGGGTCCCTCCGCAAGGGGTCCAGCGGCAGTGGCTCGGACCTGAGTTGCAGGACCCTCGCGCGGCCGCAGCAGTGGGAGGATGATCGATGTGGTTCGACGATGTTGTTGGATTGTTTGTTAGGCGAGTTCCGACCATCGTCGGGCGGAATCGCTTGGGATAGGAGGGACATCAGGAGGGGGAGGAGGACGATGAGGAGTCAAGTCAAGCCAGGCGCCCAAACGGCACTGCAAGTTTGGGCGTCCACGCCTGCGATGACGATAACTTTTTTTAGGACTTCGCGCCCAGTGTTCGCACACGAGCTTTCGTAACGACTTATCTCTGGGTAAGACTGCGATGCGGTCGTACAGTTTGATTCGTAGGTGAAGTACGTCTGTTGTCAATGGTTGTGCTTTCGCTCTTCTCCGCACCTCTTTGTTGGACACCCTGGAGTAATACGCATGTGGCCCCTTCAACATTTGTTCTCAATGATGCCGCTTGGAAAGCATCCGATCGATTACGACCTGCTTGAAGTAGCCAGAGAGATTACAGGTTGTGTAACATCTTCGGGATCACAATAGCTTGAAGTAGATGTATATTGCGGTGCAGTGTGATGTCCGCGTGACCCCAAGACGTTGCCAACGATTGTCATACGTACCCGCGTTGCTTCTCCCATTATTATGGTAGCCTGTGGATGGTTGTCCTTTTCCGTAGTTAGCAACCCATCCAGATAAACATTTTGTCCCACGAGTTCCAAGCATTCTCTTGCTAGGGCGTACACACAAGCATTGTTTCGCGATTTGCATCAGAACATATTTCTTCCTTTTTAGCTACAATCCATATGTATTGCCATCCTCGATGACAAGATCAAGAAGTGCTTGTAAATTCCCAGCGCTCGCGTTAAGAAGGACCGTGTCGCCCGCATACGAGACATCATTGCATACTGTGGAATCGAGCTCTGTGGATTTAGCTGCCATGTCGCGGTATGCGTTATCAATATCGCACAGCATCACGGTCTGCACAATAATGAACAAGTGTGGAGACAAAGGGCAGCTTTGCGCGGTCCTTCGTTTTTAGTCTCGTAAGGGAGAGTCGTTGCCAGGGTCTTTGATATGTATTTTTCGCTCATCATAGAGTGCTTGAGTCATTTCTACTATCGGAGCTCGGATGCCAAACCTGGCAAGAGCTGAAAATATCGCGTAGTGCTTGATGCGGTCAAATGCTCTTGCCCAGTCTAAAAGTATGGCGAGCACGCGCGATTCTCCTGCAGCGCACGCAGCATCGACAATACGATGTGCCATTGGGATTGCATCAATTGCGTTGCGTTTGGGACGACATCCAAATTGCGTCGGCCTAATACGCTCTTCCGCCCCGCCGTGCTGAAGACGTGTTTGCAGTGCCCATGCCAGTATTTGCATCCCACTGTTAAGAAGGAATGTGGGCAGTAGTTATCTGGTAATCCCGCGTCGTCTTTTTTCGTAGTCTGAGGGGCAGCAGGGGCGACTTGCAGCTGACGTCCGAGCCAAGAGCTCTCAGCATGTCCCCGAGAGGCTCCCAGGAGAGGGGGGGGGTGAGGAGAGGGGAGGCGGAGCGAGGAGACGCCTCGATGTCGGGCCCGCCACCTCCGGGGTACTCGCGGAGAGCGCGGGCTTGGTTGTCGCCGTTCCTGGCAAGGCGGCCTCCCGCGCGGCCTCGTCTGAGTGTGGGTAAGGCTTGTCCTCCTCCTCCTCCTCCTCCTCCTCCTCCTCCTCCTCCTCCCCTCTCTATGGAAAGACAGCCCGCCCCTCTGGGGCTGTGCCAAAAAGCCTCGGCTCTCGTCTGTGAGGGTGTCTCGCAACAACAATACTAAAGTAGCATACCCCACCCCATCCTGGGCCCCGAGAGAAGGTGTTTGTGTGGCCTGGTGGGTTTTGCATGGCAAGGGTGCTCCAGAGTATGTGAATCGCCGATCGCCGAGCACCCTGCGGGACATGCTTTTCGGCAGACCCAAACGCAACTTCGATTCCCTGGATGTTGCCAACCACGCCGCTGCCGCCGCTCTTGTGACCTCCCGCGGGTGGAGCAAGAATGTAAACTCACACATTTGATCGAATTACGGTCTGGTTAGGGGGTGTCTTACAAAAGGAGGGAGGGGTGTAAGCATGAGAAGGATCACGACGCAGGGTGATCGGGATTTGCGCACCGAGAAGCGACAGTTGCATGAAGGGGAAAGGGGGGGCTGGCGGCTCCGTGGGGGAAGCGACTTGTTTGGTAGAAGCAGGCTCAAATCAATAGTGTAAGTTTTCAGTTGTGTTTGTTCCTCCAATTGGAGGGAAGAGTAGGAGTAAGAAAACCAATGGAGGGTGCAGGAGGGGGCAGGCAGTGGAGAACGAAGCAGGACACCAATTCTGAAAGCTCACATAATTGTGTTCCCAATTCTGCAAGCTCCATCCCGCCACTTGCTCGTCCTGATCGCCCTCGCCCCTCCGCGATATCCACCCCCTTCCCCCCTTGACTTGTTCGCGGCATCGTCAGGGGGGGAGAGGGCAGCGCTTTGGCTTGGGCTAGAGCCGAAGCGCGCGAAACGCTTTGCGGACTCCAGATCTATCTTGAGATTTCTCCAGGTTTTTGGAGGATGTTGGTCGTCGTCGACATTAGGGAGGAGAGACGGGAGAGAAGAGAGGTTGAGCTGTCCTCCTTCGCCTTCCGCTCTCCCTCCTCTCTCTTCTCGCCTTTCCATTCTGGGGCACCCTCCGACTTCTCGGCCTCATGCTCCTCCATATTCTTCCCCCTCTGCCCGCCTCAGCTGTCCTCTCCTGCCCGGGGGTCGGCCTTGCATCGCCGACGGCGTCCTGATAGCCCAGCGTACCCAGGAGCGTGCGGTTTTGCAGTCGAGGGCATGTCTCTGACCTATGGGCGGCATATCGCCGATTCCAGCTCGATGCCCCCACCCCCCCTGAGCCAGGCCCCCTCCCCGTCGCATGGCCTAGTCTACTCATAGATTCACCAGATAATGTTTGAAACACCTTTTGCGTTTTGCATCTGGTGTCCTTCGGACATGTGTGGCTGAGAAAGCACTGTTTAAGACATTTGTTCTTTCCAGACAGGGCTTGTACTCAGGCACTGGGGCTATCGACTTACGTTGATCAAGGGACCTTCCACGGGTCCGCCGAGAATTTTCACGTTGCCGACCCGCGCCGCCGTGTGGGCGACCCGTGCGCTGGGTGGGTCCGCCGATGTTGCGCCACGTTGCCGCCCGTGCCGCCTCGAGGGCGCTCGTGGGCGCCCCGTGCGCTGGGTGTGTCTGCTGAGGTCACGCCACGTTGTCTCCCGTGCCACCTCGCGGGCGCTCGTGTGCGCCTGATATGTTTAACTTTAAGCTGTATAATTTGCATCACATGGCTTGCACTGCATAGCTTACACCACATGGCTTGCACCACATTGCTTACACAACATAGCGTACACCACGTAAGTTACACCGCATAAGTTCACCCCAGTTCACACCAAATATAGTACACGACATAACTTGCACCACAAAGCTTACGCCGCGTATCAGCTCCATAGCTCACCCCACATACCTTACACCACATCGCTTACACCGCATAGCTTGCACCTCCACAGTGCACTACCTCACTGTTTGGGGGCCCGCGCTAGCTAACATGCGTCATCACCAGGGTGTGTTGATTCGAATGCCATTCACTTGCCATATAATTTCGTGCCTGTCTTATGGAAGCAGAACTACGGACATCAAGCAGGGTACGACGTTGTTTGGGCTCGTGCTCCGAGATTCGAGACGCGGGGGAGGGGCAATCGGGATCTACGTAGGCACCAGTGTGTTGAATTTCTCGTTGGGCTTCAATGTGCAGATGCTTGGAAACGTATCCCTACTTCCTTTAACATGTCGTTATTGTCTCCGAGCGTGGCTGACAGCATGCCTGATCTCGAGCTTGCGCGTGGCTGACATCCCGTGCTGGCGCTTGTGACTCTGTGGTTCCCAGTGCGAGGCTCTTTGACGCTCCGAATGCGGGTCAGGCTCGAACACTTACGAGTCAGAGTTCCCCTCAGGCACGTGAATCCAGTGAAGCGTGTGGGTCACAACGCGCTAATCTGAGCGGAGAGGAGCGTGGCGGATATGCTTACGGCGTACGGCCAGCTCAGGGGTGGTAAAGGGAGAGAGTCCCCAAGGCAGCCAGACAGACCCCAACTGTCTGACATGTTCGGCGTCAAATTTATCACGCATTTGGAACGCGCCCTAGATCTTCGACACATTAAGGCGTTGCTGTCTCGTCATGCGAAGCGTGTGATCGCGTGTCAGCCCCCCTCAACTCACGACTGAATTTAGCAGAGCGTGCCACGACGTCTCAGAAGTTGAACATTATACCGCAATGGATTGGTCGGGCTGGCCCAGGACCAGACCGTTCCTGAGCGTTCCAGAACGCTTTCAGAGCAGTCGGGAGCGTCCTGGAGCGGCCGCGGCACCCGATTCATCCCCTGGAACCGCCGGGTCTCGGACGTCCTGATTTGTCTTGGTCCGATCTTGTCCTGGTCCTGGCCTCGCCTCAAATCTGCTTCCCGGCCAGGTGGGCTGCGAGGACGACCAGGTCGTGGTCGCGTCAGGGGACCAGCGCATGTTGCTGAGAACCCGGCGCATCCACAGGCGCAGGGGCGGCGCCAAGAGGTCCTACGCCCGGCGCCACCTGACTAATTTGGAGAACGATGAGGACCTATCGGAGTGAGGGGGGGTGGTCCGATTGCACAAGTTTGCCATGAAGCAAGGTCTTGCGTGTTTTCTCAGTTTTCGGGCCCTCGGGGCCCTCCCCGGGCCGCGGGAGTGTCAGAGGACGTCTCAGGATGAAGATTTTCTCATGGTAGGCCCCAGGGTCCAGGACCCGCTTGCCTCAGGACCCGCTTGCTTCCCGCGAAAGTGAGGGGGGTCCGATCGCAGAAGGCTGGTCCATTTCAGGTAAGCGGTAAGCCGTGTAACGGGAAGCGCCAGGCGGTTCGCGCCATTTTGAATAGCGCTGGTTTCCCAATTCGGTGGTAAGGGGGCTCTACGATGCAGCAATTGACACCAGGGAATGGAAGGATGCGTGACAAAGCCAAGGAATGTGTCCGTTCGGAAAGGTCCGTCCACGGACATGATGAACCGTTCCAGCTTCGGCTTGTCGGCGAGCCCTTGTGGATATCCTTCCAAGACGCAGCTCGCCCCTGGGCCGAAACGCGAAACTAGTGGGGGGATCTGGGACCGATTCCGAACAACGGGTGGTTCTGCGTACGACGGGAAACGCGAAGCGATTCAGTAGTCTGAAGGGGAGAGTGCCCGCGATCGCCGAACAAATGTGGTTTCGGCGTATGTCGGAAGCCCGAAGCGATTCACGTGCGGTCTTCGGAAAAATAACGGAGATTCTGAAGGGTCGAGTCCGGCGTACGTCGGGAAGTGCGAAGCGATTCGGCGTTTTAATTTAGGAAACAGGGGGAAGTTTGAGGGGGAGGGCCATCGCCCTGGCCGAACCAACACCTCCAGGGCGTATCCGTGAAATCTGTTCCTTGGCTCCACGAGGCGTCCGAGCTGAGCCACGACGGATCCAAGGTGTCGCCAAGGTGGCCCTGCAGGGTTCTGAGAGGCCGCCGGAAGCCTCAACGGGATTATGAGAGGCATCACAATGCCCCAGCAATGCGCCCACGAAGCGTTCCAAGAGAGCCTCCAAGACGCTCCAAGAGATGCCCCAGACAGTGTTGTGAGAGCGCGGCCTCTTGGGCCCCAAGAGGTTTCGAAGAGGGAGCCCAAGAGAGCCTCGACAAGATTCCATGAGGCCCCAGGAGGCCAAGAAGAGGCTCCAGAAGAGAAGCTCCAAGAGTGGCCCAAGATAGTCGAAGTGCAAAAACCTCGAGGCGTCTCATAGTTTATAGTTTTGGGCATGTTCGCCTTCTCGGCTAACTATTGCGTCGGCCGTGATTCAGATTTGTCCGAAGGATTGCAATAGCCACCCAAACTGGCCCAAGGGTTCCCCACAAGGGAGCCCCACGACAGCTCTAGAGGGCACCTGGAGGAGTCCAAGAAGGCTTTTAGAGAGCCTAACAGAGCTACCCATCCCAAGTCCTCAAGACTCCCCGATGCGCCTTAAGAGAACCGAAGAGATCACAACGGCAATCAAAATGTTCCGTTGCCAATTTTGCCCCGATATTTGCCGGCTCGTTGAAGGTTCATTGTTTGCAGAACAGGTGCACAGACCCGTGTTTTTTTGACCCTGTGTGTGTGTGTGTGTGGGTTCTCGGGAGTCTTGAGCGCGGCGCCACCCCAGGCGCGCACATGCGGTGCACTAGCGGTCAGAGCACCGCTGTTGGCTCACCACTTCGGAGCGCTCTTCGCTGATTTTCTCTCAGGCATTTAATGAGCGTCGTCGTTCCGGGGACAGGGGGCATGCCGTTTTTCTGCAGCACTGCAGCTCTGCTGAGGCGGGGCCAGCTTGCCGGGCCGCAAACTCCCCCAATCTTCGAGTGAGTTCGGAATTGGATTGTCTTTCACTGCCGTGTTTCTGCAGCTGTCTTGTGGTTTGCCGTTCCCCCCCTGTCTGCGTCGCCATTGCTGCTGCTCCTGCCCGTTTGACGGCGTGCACAGGAGATGGTTTGAGGGGGGTGGCTTTCTACTAATTAAGAGAGCGGGGCTGTTCTCACAACGAGGAGCTATCTTAGGAGCTCTCCCGGATTCTGAGGAGCCTTCTCAGAAGGCCGACCCCATCGCATCAGCCCCTCGTGCGCGCTGCCAACCCATGCTTCCGGACCGTTGTCTCCTATTCTCACCGCTGGCAGCCGTTTTGGCCTCTGCCCATTTTCATTTTCTGCCCCGAGCTTGTCGGGAGCCGCGCATAACCCGCCGCGGTAATCAGCCCGGGGGCGGGGAAGCGACGCCTGGCGAGGAGGAGGGAAGAGGCCGGACGAGGGGGCGGGGGTGCAGGGGGGGGTGAAGGCATACCGGAGAGGGGGATTGGAGGAGTAAGATTTCGCCATGAATGCATGGCATCCTGGAGGATCGGGTCCTGGAGGCTCCTGGAGGCGTTTCACCGTTTTCGGCCTTTGGGGGCCCTCACTGAGCCCTCACTGATCGCAAAAGCCTGGGACAGCCACTGTTTCCATCAGGACCGTGTCTTTCATGGCAGGGAGAAGGCAATCGCAGGAATAATGGGGTGAAGAGGAAAAGGAGGCAGGGGGGACGACGGAGGACGTCAGATGCACGAGATAATTTAGTGGAGGTCTTTCCTTGAGTCCAGCAATGTCGGAGCGTCTCTGCTCTCCTATAGGCCCACCAAAGAATGTTCTAAGAACCTTTTGCGGTGATTTTTTTGCTGGGACTGATTTGTGTTAACACATCGGGTTTATGTTCTAAGAACATCGTTTGTTCTTGGAACACTGTTGGCTTCTGCGAACATGTCGTGGTAGGCCTTTAGGAATGCCTGGACGGTCGGTCCCTGCTCAATTGAGGTCCGAATGTTGCAACATATTCGTGATGCAAATGGTATGGATGTTTATTCGGCCACAGTTCTGGCCTTGCAAGGCCTCTTCGCGAGGAGGCGGACGTCCTTTGGAGGCCCCCTGCGTAGCACCCGGCGCACCCCCCCTTGCTACCGCACCTCCACACGCGCGGGCCGGGCCCAGCCATATCTTTGCTCCGATCTGCTGGGAGGGAGGGGCGCATCAAAGACAGGTCACCCGCGGGGCGCGAAGGCAATCGCGCTTCGCGCGTCGCTGTGATGGCGATAGCGGCTGCCTTTCCCCGAGGGGTCGGCGCGGGGACGTGAGGGCGCGAGGATGCTCGCGGGACGCGATGCTCGAAGTCAAGTGGCCCTGCTTGCGCTCGTATAGGTTTCCAGAGGGTCGGTGCTGGACCCCCACTTGGCGGCGCCTCTGGCGCTGCCCCGTAACGCGCTCCGCGCGCCAGGGGAGGGATGTTCAGCGCCGACCCGAGAAATCCGCGCGGGCCTCCGGGAGTGGTGTGCAGCTTGGTTCTCTGGTGCCGGGCCTCGCCTCCGGCTGCTCGCGGCCATGGCCCTCTCCCGGATGATGCGCGTTCCGTCCTCGCTCGCCCGCGCGGGCGCGCCCGCGCCGCGCTCGGTGGCGCGCCGGGGCTTCTTAGGCGCATCTGCGCCCCGCCTGCAGGCGAAGGTCGGAGGGTGGCCAGTCGAGACGGCGGCGGCCCTCCCTGGCATGCTCCGTCCTGTCTGTGCCTCTCGGGGGCCTCACGTCGCCGCGTCTGAATTGAATCCGCCTCGGAAGCACGGGTCAGGATGGGGCCGGGGAGGGGCCCGGGATGGATTTCGGGCGGGTCTGGGCCTGGCGGGAGGGCCGCCGTTGTCCCAAGTGGTCCGCGGACGAGGGTGACGTGATCGGGATCGACCTGGGCACCACGAACTCTTGCGTGGCCATCATGGAGGGCAGCACCCCCAAAGTCATCGAGAATAGCGAGGGCATGCGCACCACGCCGTCGATGGTGGGCTTCTCCTCCGACGGCCAGCGGCTGGTCGGCATCCCGGCGAAGCGCCAGGCGGTCACCAACCCAGAGAACACGGTGTTCGCCGCCAAGCGATTGATCGGCCGAGCTTTTGACGACGAGGCTGCGAAACAGAACATTGCACCGTCGCGGCAGAAGACCGCGGCGGCGCAACTCAGGGATAGGGAAGCAGTTAGCACATGCGGGAGACGGCAGACCGTACATGCGGGAGACGGCAGAGCAGACCGTACATGCGGGAGACGGCAGAGCGCATGGGAAGACCACACGGGAGATCACACGGGAGACCGCACAGCAGACCACACGGGAGATCTTACGGGAGACCATTTTGGAGACCGTGCGGGAGACCACGGGCCACGGACCATGGATTCCGCATCCGGACTGGTTCACACGTGCGGTGAAGCGCTATCTGAAACCATTCCATCACAAGAAGGCAAGGAAGCGCAAACATTCGAAAGTCCGTGCGGAGATCTCGGATTGGCATCGGGCCGCTTCTGGCGGCGCCTCCGGTGCCGTGCCTGGCTCGCTCTGCGCTGCAGGGAAGTGTGTCCGGGGCCGGTCTGTGAAGTCCGTGCGGTAGTGTGTCAGTGTATGTTTCTGGTTTCTTTCTTTCGCTGGGAGGCTACGAAGAAGGACATGAAGCACCTCCCGTACAAGGTGGTCAAGGCGCCTTCCACTAACGACGCTTGGATCGAGGCGCAGGGTGAGAAGTACTCTCCCAGCCAGATCGGTGCATTTGTGCTCGGAAAGATGAAGGAGACTGCTGAGGGCTATCTGGGGCGCAACGTGGCACAAGCAGTGGTCACTGTACCTGCGTATTTCAACGACGCCCAGAGGCAAGCCACGAAGGACGCTGGCAAGATCTCTGGCCTGGACGTGCTCAGAATCATCAACGAGCCCACAGCCGCAGCGCTGGCTTTTGGCATGGAGAAGAAGGACGGGCAGATCTTGGCCGTCTACGATCTGGGCGGTGGAACTTTCGACATCTCTGTCCTGGAGATATCTGGCGGCGTCTTCGAGGTGAAGGCCACCAATGGGGACACATCCCTGGGGGGCGAGGACTTCGACAATGCCATCCTGCAGTACCTTGTCGGTGAGTTCAAGAAGTCCCAGGGTATCGACCTGTCGAGTGATAAACTAGCCCTGCAGCGCCTGCGCGAGGCGGCCGAGACCGCCAAGATAGAACTCTCCAGCAAGGTCCAGACTGACATTAACCTGCCGTTCATCACTGCTGACCAGACGGGTCCGAAACATTTGAATTCAAAAGGCTTACGCCTTTTCCGCCGACCCCCAGAAGAGAAATCGTGCGGCTTCCGATGTATGTTTTTTGCGTGCCGCTTCCAATTGTGTTGCTTGTGTGTAGTTGTTGCTGGTTTGTCCTCTTCCTCCACGTCTACTCCGGGCTTCTTGGGGGCCTCTCGGAAGCCTCGGGAGCAGCCACGTGGGTACCTTTTCGGGGCTCCTGGGGGCTGCTTTGGGCCCTCTAGCGGCTGCTGGGGGTCCTCTTCGAGGCATGCCGGGGTGACTGAGGCCATCGTGTGGGGGTGGGGGGGGGGGCGGCCGGGGCTCCCCGCGAGTTCCCCCGCGACCCTCCTGGAGCCCAGTTGAGGGCCTCTCTCGCTGTCTCGGGATTCCTGGGCCGTCTTGGGGTCCTGGGGCTGTCCCGAGGCCCTCTTGGAGGCTTCTTGGGGCGTGATGGGCGGGCCTCGGGGGGGGCCTCGCGGACCGCACTGGGCTTGAAGAAGCTCGGCATGGCGAGACAGCCTCCGGAAGATCATGGGCTTTTGCATCTTGAGGCCCTCTTGGGGGTTCTCTTGGGGCTCTCTTGAGGCATCTTGGGGGCCTCGTGGGCCGTGCGGACGCCATCCTGGGCGTTCTTGAGGCAGTCGGGCGTGCTGCTGCCCTCCTCGAGCTGTCTTGGAGGGCAGCCGGGGCATCTTGGGAGGCCACGGGTGGTGGATTCCGAGACTCCGAGGGCCCCGGGGGTGCGCGGGGAGTGCGTGCGGGGGGGCGCGCCCCCCTCGTGGACGAGATGTTGGCCCGTCGGGGAGGGGGGAGAGAGGGAGGGGGGCAGCCACACATCGCGTGCGCCTGTGCACCCTGGACAAGGGGAACGGCGGATTTGCAGATGACAAGGTCAAAGTTGGAGAGCATCGTTGATAATTTTTTGATGAGGACGAAGGGCCCTTGCGAGGCAGCAAACAAGGACGCAGGCGTGAAGCCTAGCGAGATCGACGAGGTGCTGCTTGTCGGTGGGATGACGCGCATGCCGAAGGTCACTGAAATCGTGAGATCCGTTTACAATAAGGATCCCTGCAAGGGTGTAAACCCAGACGAGGCTGTCGCGATGGGAGCTGCCATCCAGGCCGGTGTGTTGAGGGGAGACGTGAAGGATATTCTCTTGCTTGACGTGACGCCGCTTTCCCTCGGCATTGAGACACTCGGAGGTGTCTTTACGCGACTGATTTCGCGCAACACCACTATCCCGACCAAGAAGTCCCAGGTATTCTCAACTGCGGCCGATAACCAGACGCAGGTGGGCATCAAAGTTTTCCAGGGCGAGCGCGAGATGGCGGCGGACAACAAGATCCTGGGTCAGTTCGACCTTGTCGGCATTCCGCCAGCACCCCGTGGCGTGCCGCAGATCGAGGTCACATTCGACATCGACGCGAATGGCATCGTCAACGTGAGTGCCGTGGACAAGTCCACCGGCAAGAAGCAGTCCGTCACGCTGCGGTCCAGCGGCGGATTGTCCGATGCCGAGGTGGATCGCATGGTGCAGGAGGCAGAGTCCATGCGCGAAGCAGACAGCAGAAAGAAGGATACCGTCGCAGCCAAGAACGACGCGGAGACACTGGCGTATCAAGTTGAGAAGCAGCTCTCCGAGTTGAAGGACAAGATGAGCTCCACGGATGCCGAGGAGCTGAAGAAGAAGATGGAGGACTTGCGGGCGTACCTCGCCGAGGACCCGGATCTGGACGAGCTCAAGGCCAAGACCAAGGACCTCCAGGAGAAGTCTTGGAAGGTCACCCAGGATGCGTACCAGCAGGCCTCCAGTCAGTCCTCCGAGGGCGAGGGCGAGAAGAAGGAGGAGGAGAAGGAGAAGAAGTGAGCTCCCGCAGAGGCAGCGAGCCGCCTTCTTTTGGACCCTGGGAACCCCGCGCACACTCGCGCTTGCGGGCGCCAGCTTGCGGGACGCCCACGTCCCCAGTTGCCCGCCCCCACGCGCTTTTTGCGCGCCTGCAGGAAGGCATGTGTCCGAGCGCACGTGCGTCGAGGAAGAAAGATCGGCGAACGCAGAGACTCTCGGAGGGCCGCGCGGGTTTCTAAGATCGTCGCCGTCCCCGGCGGCGTTGCCAGCGCCGCCCGTCCAGCGCTTACCCAAGAAATCCGCGCGGGCCCTCGAGAAGTTGTGTTCATGCCGTTTGTTCTTTTTCTGACATCCGACCCGAGACTGGACGCGCGGTTCTCGGATCACCAGGCCAGGCCTTGCGGGGGGCAGATCTTGAGAGGCCTTCGTGAGCGTTTTCGGTGGCACTGTGTCGGTGAGCGCAAGCGCCACGCGGCACCTCTGCTGCACTGCTTCGTGGCCCGCACTGTCCTCCGAGCCCCCCCCCTCTCCTTCCCATCAAACTGGGGAGCGCGCTGGGCCTCCCCGCCCGTTGGTACGATCGAGGTGGGCATGGAGGGACTCCTCGAAGAAGAGTGCACCGCAGCGGCTGATAACCCCGAACAGCATACTTTGAAGACGGACGGAGTTTGATTGGATCTTGGATCGTGCGTACGGGAGGCCGTACGGGAGACCATACAGTCACCGTTTTCAGGGCTGTTCCCCCCCCCGAAAGACCAGATGGGGAGACAATACGTGAGGCAAGATAGAAGACTCATGACGGGAGACGATCGAGGCATTTACTTCTGGAGCAGGGAACGCCCCGCCCCGACCCCTTTCGTACGAGGCATCCATCGAATACTTACACGCAGGCTAGGGGAAACATTTGTTTTGCGTCGGCGGCTCGGCAGAGTAATTGCGCTGGCGGGAGAGCCAACTAAACGGGGGCACTGATGTAACGAATTGGGCCACATTGCAAAGAAAATGAAACAAGACAGGGAGGGCGGAGTGCCGCTCAGGGGGACGGGTCACACCCGGAGCGTGTGGCGCGGCCGGCCCCGCTGGCAGGGTTTGCGGCGGCTGCTGCGCTGGGGGCTTGGCAGCGGCGGGGCGCAGTGCGGGTACCAGAACAAATCCGGTGGGTCAAGGGCGCGATGCGATCAGAGCCGGAGCCAGCAGTTGATGGCGGCGCGCCCCCCCGGACGGGAGGAGGCGCGGTGTGCCCAGCCAGATGCTGGGCCGTTGGGGCTGCGGGCGGCGAAACCAAACCCGGGGAACCAACGCGGCGGCTGCGAGCAGCCACTCAGCGCCATGGCGGCGCGCGGAGAGAGGGAGAGCGAGCGGCGAGGGGGGAAGCGGACAGGGAGGAGGACGCCCTGCTTGCAGATGCCCGCAGTCGGGGCGGCGGCGCCGGGCAGCAGCAGCGGCGCCGGGCACCACCCGCACGTGGGGGGCAGGGAGTTGGGGGGGAAGGCATCCTGCCTGCGCCCACCGGGGGCTCCATGAGGGCTCCCGCTGCCTGGGTGGGCAGTATGAGCCCGCCGCAAGCGGGGGCGTCCAGAGGATCGGGAACCCGGCAGTGCCTCAGGGGGCGGGCGGCTGAAGCGGCTCCCAGAGCGGGGAGGCGAGAACAGGGCGGCACCTAAGTGGTGTTTGGCGATGTGTAATCGAGAGTTGGCCCCACCGCCCGGGGGTGTACAGGGTGGGCCACATGGGGACAGGGGGGGGGCACCATCGTCAAGGTAGACGGCAGCGACCGCGCCTTGGCCAGCCAAAATTGTGGTCGAAGCCAGCGCCTCCAGCCCAGCGGGCGAATGCGGGGGGGCGGGGAGGGGCATTGAACAAATGCAGTGCAGTACGAGATGGAGACGGCGCCCCTGCCCGGGCGGATAGGGTGGGCCGTGGGGGAAAGAGTTGGACCACCACCGTCAGGAAGGCAGCAGCGGGCGCGCCTCGAATGGCCAAACCTGCAGCCGAAGCCACCTTCCCCAGTCCAAGCTGGCAAGGGCGGGCGAGGGGAAGCACCCAGCTGGTGCACAGCAAGACAAGGCTGCCCCCCCAGCCCGGGTGGACAGGTTGGGCAGCGCGGAAGGGTCATCGCATTCCGGTTGGACAGCGGTTGGCGCGTTCTGGCGCACAAATTATGTTGCCCGAGCCCACGCCTCCGGCCCGACAGGGCGTGGGGGACATGGGTCGGGCGCCACACCGAGCCGCGCGCCGCCAAATGTGGGCGCGCGGCTGGAGATGGCGCAGGCCTAGGAGAGGACCGAGTCGGCAGGAACTGGACGTGGGGCTGGCGACGGCGTGAGTGCCATCATGGCCAGGGTGGGGTAAGCCGGGACCTGGGAGTTGTGGCTGGGCTGGTGTGCGTGGAGAGTTTTTGCGGTGTCAGTCGAAGCCGGGGGGGACAACTACAGAAACATACACGTTTGAATTATATCCACACGGTTTTCTTGGATCGGCGTTGGGTTCCCCTTCCTGCTGCGCGGAACACGAGGTGCCAGAGGTGGTCCAACGCCGATCAAGAAAGTTGCGCGCACTTCCGCAAGCGATTCGTTATGCCATGCTTGTTTCTATGAAAATTGGGGGTGCAGGCCAACAAATCATTTTTCCCAATTCTAGACGGTTCGCGTGACCCCACCTGCCCATCCAGAGACGATGCCCAGAGGAGTTGAAGAAGAGCCCCTCTTGGAGCGCTCTTGGGACACACGTGGGCGTTTTTAGGGCCGTGTTGGAGTTTTTGTTGGCCTCTCTTGCGTCTTGGAAACCTTTTGGCGGTCCCCGGGGCCTCTTGGAGCGTTTCGGGTGCCTCACGGAGCCTCTTGGGGCCGCTTGAGGGTCATTCGGGAGTCTCTTGGAGTCCTCTTGGGAGCCTCTTGGGGCCTCCTGGGCGCCTCTTGGGGCCCTCCTAGGTGCTCTTGGGAGCCTTGGGGGCGTTCTCGGGGCCATCTTGGAGGATCTTGATGTTAAAAAAGAGGTTTTTTTTAGCGTCCCCTTTCGGGAGCCCCAGCCGTCGCCTCTCGGGGCGCTCTTGAGGCGTTCATGGGCACTCTTGAGGCCGTCTTGGAGCTCTCTTGGGCCTCTCTTGGGGCCCTCTTGGGCCATTTTGGACCCATGTTGGTGCTTCGGATGGCCATCGGACGCGAAACGGCGAGAAATAAAGAACATGTATTTGTCTAGGCCTTGGAAGGAATTTGGACTATTCGGGGCGTCCTTGGGGAGCTCTTCGACCTGTTGGAGCCGTCTTGGGACGGTCTTGGGGCCTCTTGGAACTTCTTGGGTGCCATCTTGAGCCATATTGGAGGTCGTCTTGGGCTCTCCGAGGCGTTCTTGGAGCCATCTTGGGCCATTCTGGACGCTCCAACGCGTCGCGCCCCCCCCCCCCCGTCCAGGTCCAGGGGAGGGTGTAGGGGGAGGGGCCAAGTTTGCCAGCTCGGGCGAGTCAGAGGGCTCCGTCCACTCCCACCCGCCCTCCCACAACATAAGAAGCAAGTGCGTCGCGTCCGACGCCTGTCGCTAAGCTTATACCGTGGGCGGCTAGACGCCCAGCGCGCGACATGAGCTGCGCCCTATTCTTGCCGCGTATTGAGCAACGTCGACGAGAAACAAGACCGCGCGCGATGTACGCCGCGCCCCGCTCCGGCCTCTCATGTTGCATCGTCGGCGACAACATGTCCAGCGCGCGAAATGCGCCGTGTCTCATTACAGCCACGCGTGTGATACCGCCAATCGTTTCGCTCTTGCCGCGCATGGAGGAGGGGGAGAGGAGGAGGAGGAAGAGGAGGAGGAAGAGGAAGAGGAGGAGGAGGGGAAGGCAAGTTAGGTGCGCTCGCGTCAACATCTGACATCCTACCCCTCCCTCCCATCCCTTACCATGGCGCTGATTTTCTCTATCCGCGGACGCGTGTCGTAGCGGACCTGTGGCTCCGCGCGCGTGTGCGTAGTGGGTGGTGGTGCGCGTGCGTGCGTGCGTGTGTGCGTGGTTGTGGTTGTTGTGGTGGTGGTGTGTATGTGTGTGTGTGCGTGTGTGCGCGTGTGCTGTGGTGTGACGTGGTGTGGCGTCTTGATGGTTTGGTGGTGGGCCAGGTGCGTACGTGCGTGATGGCGGTGGTGGTGGTGGCGGTGTGGTGTGTGTGTGTGTCGTGTGTGCGTGTGTGTGTGTGTGTGTGTGTGTGCGTGCGTGTGTGCGTGCGTGCGTGCGTGCGTGTGTGTGTGCGCGCGCGTGTGATGTGGTGTGACGCGGTGTAGCGTGGTGGTGGTGGGTGGGGTAGTGCGGTGGTGGTGGCGGTGCGCGGTGGTGGTGCGCGTGCGTGCGTGCGTGCGTTGGTGGGTGGAAGTGGCGGCGGGTGTGCGTGCGGCGGGGCGGGGCGTGGTGCGGCGCGGTGGTGGCGGGCGGATGGGCGCGCGAGAAAGAGGCCCGCGCTGGGGCGAGAACGCCATCCTGAACGACGGAGGCAAAACACCGATCCGAAAATGAGGCCCACGCTGCAGCGGGAGCACGATTCGGAACGATTCGGGAGCAGAAGTGAGGCCGGCGCCTCGGCGAGAGCAGCGTTTTGAAACAAAAACGCAGGCGACAACCCAACACCTGGGAATCCTGTGTGTAAAAAACAGTACGCGGGGGGGGGGGTCTACTACTCCCAGCACGCCATCATGGGAAGAGGGAGAGTAGTATTCATATTGAGTAATTGTAGAGAGGGAGAGAGGGATAAACTGAGGTGGAAGAGTGCCTCTTGGGAATTCGCACGGCGTCGTGGGAGCTTTCTGGTATACGCCTGAGGGCCTCTTGGATATATCTTCTGGGTTTGACATTGTCAACACAAGTTGGTTTTAACCTCGCACTCCTTCAAACACCGAATGAACATCAATACTTGTGTTGCTCCCCAGGACATCCTGGACGCCTTTTTCCGACCTCTCGGGGGTCTCCTGGGCATTTGCTTGAACCGCGGTTGTTTGATGTAATCTGATTCGCCGCCCGCCCAGCTCCTCAACCCGACGGGCCGCAGCGTCGACGACAAGAAAGTCCATGTTGACGAGCAGACGTCCCCGCTCGATGCGCGCCGCGTCCCATTCCCGCTACGCGATTCGCAGCGCCGACGAAAAGAACGCATCTGTTGGCAAGACAAGCGTCGACGTGCAATGCTTTTTGACAGGTAGGACGGGGGGTCCCGCGTGGGGTTGGCCAGGCGTCCGCGCGCGATGCGCGCCGCGTCCCATTATTGCTGCGCTTTTTCACAGCGTCGACGACAAAACCGTCCATGTCGACGAGGAGGACGTTGACTTTGCATTGTTTTCGATGGTTCGGACGCGACCACCCGCTTCTGGCTACCCAAACGATGTTCATTCCGTCACATTCCTCCAACATTATTCGAAATTCGACAACATGTTGGCGAGCAAAATGTTGAGTTGGCGTTGCGCGGTTGTTCTCGGCCGGCTAGGTGGGGATGCGGGGGTGTTTAATCGTAGGAAATATCCCTTCCCCGAAAGTGGAGAAGAGGGTTGGAATAGGAAACGCCTTAGACCACCTACGCCAAGAGGGCTGGCGGGATACACTTCGCGTGAACACACCAGCCAATCAAGAAAATCTGCCCATGTGAGTCACCCTGATCAGGGATATGGAGGAGTATGCGGTGGAATACACGGCTGGGGAAGCCGTGGTTATACCGCGACAGAGCTAAGGTGGAGGAAAAATCGGAAAGGGGGGGGTGGAAGAGGAGGGGGAGGGAGGACGACGGAGGAGGAATAGGCAGATGAGGAGGAGGAGAATGGGGAGTAGGGCGGGCAAAAAAGGCCTGAGGCCTGTTTGATGCCCCTTGGGGTCTTTGCGGATGTTTCTTGAGAGGTTATTGGGGTTCTCTTGTGGCGTGTTGCAGGCCTCTTGGCGGTCCCAGGTGCCTCTTTGAGCGTGTTGGGTGCATCGGGGGATCCTCTTGGGGCCTTATGGGGTCCCTTGGGGACATTTGGGGGACCCTTTGGGGGTCTCGTGGGGTCTGCCGGGCGCCTCTTCAGGCCTCTCTTGGAGTATTAGTGTTGGCCATATGGGAGGAAATCGATCAAAGAATGGCGGGCAACTTGCCCTGCATAATAAGCTCGTCTCTTGAACCCCTCTGGGGCGCTCTTGGGCGCTTTTGGGGCCGTTTTGAGGGTTTTTTTCTTGGGGCTGTTGGGGCTGTCTTGGCCTTTTGGGTTTTCTCTTGTGTTTTTCTTGGGGCTGTCTTGGGCCTTCTTGGCGCCATTCTGAGGCTTCGGAGAGCTGTCAGAAGTGAAAAGACAAGACGGCAAACAACTGTAAAGTGTTTTTGGCTTTGTTTAGAAGGATTGTGGCCTCGTGGTGGCTTCCTTGGGATTTCGTGGCCACTTGGGGAGAATTGGGGCCTCTTGGGGCAGCTGGAAGCCGTCTTGAGCTATCTTGAGCCAGTTTTGGCCATCTTGGAGTTCATCTTGGTCTATGAGGCCCTCGTGGAGCCATTTTATGTCAAAGGAGACCCTCTGGCACCTCGCCACCCCTCCCCTCGAGACCCAGGGGAGGAGGTGGGGGAGGGGTCAAGGCACCTCCTGCCCACGAGGCACAAGCCGTCTCGCTCACGCGCACCTGCCCTCCTAACACAGAAGTCGAACTCAGGTATCTCTGTCAACCAATGCAACGTAGTTGCGGGGCGTCCGCGCACATTCCAGGTTTTTAGGCAAAATGTATGTTTTGGTGTTCCCCCAACCCTCCCGTGTTTGGTTCTCGTCTTGAATAAAACGCTGTGGTGTCCATTCTTCCTGGGGTGCTGCGAATTGCGGCAATTGGCACCATTTTCGTGGGCTCCTGGGAGGTCCAGCGGAGTCGGGGGACACGCAGATCCGGCCGAGGTGGGTGGAGAAGCACCGAGGTGGGGTGGCGGGGGGATCAATGAGCAAGGAGGGGTAGGGAGGGGGAGGAGCGAAGAAGAGGATCGAGGATCGAGGAGGAGGAGAAGGAGGAGGAGGAGGGGGAGGAGGGAGAGTAGCTGTCTCCCCCCAAAACCGTCCGTATCAAAAACCCATGCAAAGTGACGGTGGGGTTGACAGCATTGTGTATGGTGTGTGCGCCCGCAATCTTCAGTTTTTGTTGACAGGGATGGTCGGCATGCACACGGCAGGCAATCTGCCGCCTCGTTCGCCGTCTTTGGCAAAGTGCACATTGGAATCTGCTTGTTAAGGGAGGGATGATGGGCCTGCACGCACCAGGCGGTATGCTGCCCCCCCCGCCGTCCCTACCAATGCACAGTCCTCGCGGGGTGCCCGCGCGTGGTCCAGATTCTGGTGCGAAGGGCATTTTGCGTTGTTTCGTCTGCAAGGGATGGTGGATGAGGGGTGTTGATGGCATCGAACACAGCACGCCATGTGCTCGCGCCCCCGCCGTCCTTGTCACAAGCCACTGCACTAGGCTCACGGGGTGCCCGAGCACGGTCCAGACTTTGCTGCAATCTGCATCTTGCATTGGTCCTTGACAGGGATGTCGGGGGGGAGTGTCATTGGGCCGGGTTTGTGGCCGGTCGGGGGGGAGGGGGCGTTTATAATAAGGAACAGTGATAGCCCCCGACATGGGAAGGAGGGGTTGGAAGAGGAATGTCAGTGTAAACCACCTCCGCCCATAGGGTTGGTGGAGTCGTCGTTGGCCATCGGGGGGGTCCTCAATTAGCACCGCCCCTCTAGAGCCCCTAAGCTCGCCTCTTGGACCCCTGTTGGAACGCTCATGGGGCGCTTTTGGTTGCTCTTGTTCTTGGGGTTCAGTTGCGCCTCTCTTGGCGCTCTCGTGGGCCCTCTTTGGGGCCACCAGTTTGCGAGCAGCGCTAACCCCTGCCCCTTGCTCTTTCCTGCTCTGCTCTCCCAGGGCGGGGTCCGCCCTGCCCTCCCGTCGCCTCTCTCCAGCCTCTGGCCGGGGCCGGCCTGCAGAAGATATTTTCGGCCTCTGCCAGAAAGCACCGCCATGATCAGATTCGGGCGAATGAGTCCTTCGCAAAGGGGGGTTCAAACACGTGCGCAATAGTTCGCGCAAGCGTTCGTGTTGGATCGTGCTCGATGCGGGCAGAGCACGTTGCATTTGGCATCGTCGGTCCGTGAGAGAGGCCACGCGCCATGAGCCACAGGATGAACTATTGTGTTCTTTTTGTCCCCATTGCGAAAGACCCCCTTGCCCGGAACCAGCATGAAGCAAACATATGGTGGTCTTGATGGAAGTTGGTCCTGGAGGGCTTTCGCCGTTTCCAGGCTCCTGGAGAACCTGGGGCCGTCAGAAAAGGTGGTCGGGAGGAGAGTTGGACCAGGGAGAAGCCTCCCTGATCCAGGACCCGTTACCTTCGGGACCCCGCTTCTTCATGCCAAACCGCCAGGAATCGAGGGGCAAGAAGCAGCATAAGCATGACTTGTCGTAGGGCCGCGCGGAGCTCGCGGGCTGACCCCCTTTGGCGCCGCCCTAGCGCTCTCCGCAAGCCAGGAGAGTGAGGTCCTCAGAGCCGACCCAAGGCATCCGTGCGGACTTCCGACAGATCATGCTTGAGCCTTCCTCTTTTCCCTCCAAGGAGGCACCGCACCGCGGGCGGTACCTATCAAGGCGCTGCCGTAAGAGACGGTCAGACATCTTGCGAAGGCACAAAAAAAGTGCGCGATCATGTTTTGTATCGTTTACCGCTTCGAGCTTTCGAGAGGCACACTGGAGATGCCCACCACGCCCACCTACCTCGCCTCTCTGTGTCTGCACGCCTAGCTGGCAGACCGGTTCGGGACTTTCAGATGTCTGTCGAAACCAGCATGTTTTTTCCCGAGTGGAGTTTGATGGTCCCAGATATATCTGGATGCACCGCCCGCTAGGGCGCTGGGAGATCGGTTCCCCATGTGGTGTAAAGTACGACAGGTCAGAGTCGTGTTTCCGCGGCGGCGATCCCAGTGCATTCGCTCAAGGTTGGGCACCACCAGTAACCTATAACCGGCAGACATCGAATGAGTCGCGCGTCGGGAAGGAGGCGCGATCATTGAAGGTTGAACGATCCACGCTGTATCAGACACCAAAGCCGTGGTCGTCACGACACGAACACGCCGTATAGATCCCGGCCTTGCAGACATCGCAGTTCCGTGACTCGCCGTCCGTGGCGTGTGTGATCCGTTTTGTTTTCGGAACGTCGACGGCCACGAGGTCGCCTCGGGGTCAGAGATGGGCTCGCGCTCCAGAGCTGGTGGAGGTGTGGGTGCCCCGTGGGGTGTTCTCCCTCGTGGTGTCCGCCGAGGGGTGTGTTAGATATCCGTTGGGGGGCCTTCCTGGAACCCACCTATCGAGTTTGTGCGATTGCAGTTCGAATCCAGATCGACTCAATTCGAACTGAAGCTCCATTTAAGTTCGATACAAGTAGGCCGTCATTCGACTCAATTTCGATGCATCAGTGGAGCGAGTGGCTCCAGGGAGGTCCCCAGAACGATCATCTAAAACGTGGTGCAGCTGAGACTACAACGAGATGGCACCAGTGGGCACCAAACTGTTTGGGATGTGGATCTGAAGTCGATGTCGGGCCAGCAGGCTTACGCCATCCCGCTGGCCTCCGAAACATGAATGGGCGAATGCAAGTATGGTTCCGCTTCCCGTATGTCCCCAGCAGCACATGCAGAGATGACGGTCCGGCATAGAAACATACAGCGAAACAGACAGGCAAGCATTGATTGTTTGAGCGATATCTGGGATCCTCTTGGATAATCATCTGGGCGGTTTTTGGCACTCGTTGGGTTTAACGCCATGGATGGCCTCTTGGAGCGTGGTTGGAGGCCCCAGGACTTGCAAGCAAGGGGAGGGTCCTAAATCGGGGGGGCGGGCCTTGGAGCCTGGCAATTCGCCTCGTTGGGCAGTGTTGGGACGTTTCAGTTGATGTCCCACTGTGGGGACATATGTTTGCTTATGTCGCCGCCGTCCTGGCTCAATGCATCGCCGCCTCATCTGCTAGTTTTGGCGACACCGTTTGCTCTCGATGTGCGGTTCTGGGAGCACAGAGGGACCCGTTGGCCTCCCATTGCCATCTTTCCCTCGCCGCTATCGTACCACGGTTACGACCACGGCATTGTATTCTCGATTCAAACTTGGTAGCGGCGCTGTCGCAGTCGCGGCAACCGTGTTCACCTCCGCCATGGGCGCGATGACGTGCAACGCCGTCTACACCGCGAGCATTGCGGACGCGTGCCTGCACGGCTGCCTCCCCGGCTCCGACCGCAACGCCGCCAGTGCTCCGACCCCCATCAACCTCATGGAGTTGAGGCGCGCGCGGAGACTCGACTGACATGCCGAAGGCCTTCTTCTCCTTGCCCACTACTTCATCCAACGCGCCGCCATCGAGATCCCGAGCTACTTCGACCTCTGCTACGACGACAGCATCGACCTCTTCCCCGCCATCGAGCGCGCGACGAACCTCGACCGCTACCACGACGACGACCACTTCTTTTTGCCTCTCTACATCGAGCGCGCGAGGAAACTCGGCCTCATCCACGGCAACCTCACATGCGTCCGCGCACGTCGTCGCAGACGATCCCTATATCTGCGACTCAGAGGCTCGCCGGCTCGCGAATTTTCCTCGTCTCCAGACGCTCGCAGCAACGTGTCCAGCGCCATCTCGACTTCCAGACGTGGTGCCGCGGTGGTTTCCACATTCTCTTTCCTAATACATTACTGGGGAGTTGTCGTGCACGGGCTGACTGCGGCGGTCACGGTCAGCGCCATCGGCCCTATGAGCCGCGAGCGAGAGGGCGACCAGACAAGGAGTCCGACCTGGGACCCCGCGGGCTCGGCACCGCCCCGCGCCTGGATTCGCGACGCGCGCGCCTACTGGAACGCCCACTTTGGACGCGCGACTCCATTGCAGCATGTTGCGGTCTTGCAGCGCGGCCTTCAAGGCTTGGCCCGCGCGCTTGCTGCGAAGGCCCAAATGCCGTCGTCAGCTTTGGCCCGCTCTGGCCCGGCCACCTGCCTCCGTCTTTACCTTGCCCGGGGTTCGAGGGCCTCGAGGGCGATCGACATCTCCAGCAGGGCCTCGAACTCATGGTCTTCGGGGTGCAACCCTGCGAGCGCGTCGGCAGCATCTTGGCTGGGTGGGGCATTTGTCGCGTCCACGATGACGCTGCAGGCTCGGGCCTGGGCAGCTTCAAGTTGTTTTTCGCTGCAGCGCAGCAGGCGCTTCGCATGCCCCCGGGGGCGGCGGCGCCACTGCTGCAGCCCCTTCGCGGCACGATGTCTCTGGCCCAACGACAGCGCGGCGGCGTCGGCGGCGCGCGTCGCAAGGGGCGCTAAGCCGCATCACCCAGTTCATGGGTGGACGCGCCAGAACAGACGTTCACGTCGCGGGCGCTTGTATGGTGGGCGACTCTCGGGGGACCACGAAGGAGCGCCAGCGCCGGGCTCCTGGGCGACGCCCGGGGCCCCAGAGACCGGGGCCGACGCGCGCTGGGGCCAGCCAGAGCGCCCGATCTTGCGGGACCCCACAGGGCCAGGGTCGCATTGGCTTGGGCTGGGGCGCAAGGTCTTGCAGGATCCTGCGGGGCCCTTCGCATTGACCCGAGTGCGCGCGCAGGGTCTTGCGGAATCTCACGGGATTCTGCAAGGCATGACTGACCCAGGTCTGGATTGACCCGGGTCAGAAGACACCCGACACACCCGTTGCCAAGGCGCCCAAAGAAACGTGGCCGCCCAGGCTCCGCCGACGCCGCCAACGGCCCCTACTGCTGCGCCGGCGGCCGCGCGCTGGGGGCGCCCAGCTGGAGAGGATAATGGCGGCCCTCACGCGGGCGCGATCTTTTCAAATTCCGACGCGAACCCCACGCGGGAAGACCGAGTTGATTCGCCCGAAGAGCAACGCGCCCAATAATTGTTGAATTCGAACGAATAGCATGATGGCCGTTGGCGGCGCTGCGCGCGCAAGCCAGCGCGCCGCCCCCGGCGCTTCTCGAGGCGAAAGCTCAAGGGGGCGGGGCGCAGAGGCCGCGGAGGGCGGGTCGTCTCGCTGGAAATGAAACACAAGCATTCAGACCTACGGCTCTCCCCTATCAAACGGCGCCCGCGAGGGTGCTCCTTCGCGCCTGCGACGGATCTAGTTCGACCGGCAAAGGGAGGGGCCGCAGGCAGAAACCCATTGGCAAGCATGGCCACGCGATGCCATGTCACAACTGCGGGTCGACCCAACTGCCCCCCAGAGAGTGCCAGAACCCACCTGGATTGTCTTTTACAATAGGGGGCGCGCTTCTGACAGGCGCGGTCGGGCGCGCAGACCTCCCCGATTGCGACCGCCAGGGGAATTTGTTTCCATTCATGCTGCCGAGGTAGATCGCTTCCTGTTGTTCCGCGACGTCATGGATGGCTAGAAGCTGGACTCCTCGCACACCGTGAACGACCGGCCCGTGGGCGCGCGACCGAACGCGGCAGTGGCGCGCGCGCGTACTTTGTCTACTTGGTCATAGGCGTTGCAGATCATCCGGCGCGTCATTCCCACGCGTTGCGCATCAAGGTCTTCGCCGATGCCTCTCGCGACTGCGCGCTTGCCCAAGACGTCGCGCCGCCCTTATGGAGGGCGCCCGGGTGCGCATGGAGCACCCCTTCTTCCAGCGAGAACCCGCGCGCCCTGATCGCCCCAACTATCGCGCGGATGGTCACGGCGACGACGTTCCGATGAGACGTGATTGGGGTCGCCTGCTCCTAGGGCCGTGAGTCGACACACTGTTTCATTCGATGGATGATTCGGGTGCGCGGTTTGCCGTGGATCTTGCTGAGAGCGCGGCCGATGGGCTAGGGGGCACTAGATTCTGCCGAAGGAGAGTATGACAGTCACCGCGCATGGGCACATACCCGTGGCCATGCAGGAGATCCTCGAGTTGCGACGGCATCAGATCACGAAGGTGGCCCACTTGGTGTCACCTTGGAGTTCGCGTCGTTGAACGGGCCCCATCATTATCCACGGTAGAAAACTTAGCGAGATTCTCCCGCGCCATCATTTTCGCGCATTGAATGGACGCAAGAACTTGACACGTCAGATGCGGCCCAGGACTCGCAGGAACAGCAGCCTCCACCACCACCTTCATACCAGACAAGGCTCTGGAAGCGGACTTGGTTCCCAGCGGGGTGGATGGTGAGGCCGCTGAAGGTGCGTGAGGGATTTCATTGATTATTACCCGACACAGAATGGGGTGCGATCCTGACATCCATCCTGACCACCCCGCCGCGCAGGTTCGCTTGGCTTTCAAGGGTGGATGTGCTCCAACTGTTGCGCGTGCAATGGCGATGCTTTCTGGCCTGCGCGGTGTGCCAACAACTGTATCCAATATCCGTCAGCGTCAGCATATCCGCAGCTTACGCTTAGTGGCGGTAGCGATAATACTTCTCCTCCGAGTCTCAGAGGCGCTTCAGTTGTCTGGGAGGAGCGCGCGACCATGCGCAGTGAAGACGCGGGAGAGGACAGCGAAGATCCGCGCATGTCACGCCCGCTACGCGGCGGCCGCGGCGCCCCTGGACCCTGGCGCGAAGCAGGCTATGGCGCGCGCGGGCGCCATGGTCGCGCGCGTTGAGGACACGGGGCCCGCGCTCTTGATGCGCTGGGCCGACGGGCGCAAGTTCAAATTTTGTATGACGAGCAGACTTTC